TTGTTTTATTTCGGCTAGAATGAAAGCAGTTTTTAATTTTTAAAGAATCATTTTAAGGTCAACATTATTAGCCGCTTTAAGCTGTATTTTTTTGCTTGTCTACAGAACGAACCATTGTTATACAATAACTTGCCTAATTACCCTAATTACCCTAACCTGCCTAGTTCAAATAAATATTTAACCTAGTTAAGCCTTTAAATGTCACTTTAAGCTGTATAGAAGTGTCTTGAAAAATATCAAGTCAAATATTATTTACTGTCATCATGGCAAAAAAAATAAATAAATCAGTTATTAGAAATTAGTTATTAAAACTGTCATGTTTTGAAATGTGTTGAATAAATATCTCCATTAAACAGAAATTGGGGGAAAATAAACAGGGAGCTAATAATTTAGGGGGGCTAATAATTCTGACTTCAACTGTAAGTTTAATTGACTCGTAGGGGTAATTTAGTTCAGCTTAATAATTTAAGGCAACCAGGTTTTTTTACAGTGCAGGAGGAATAATAACTTTGACTGTACACTGAAAGAAATGACTTTTTATTGTAGTCAAATCTAATAAATTGGCTTCATGTAATAAATGAAACGAGTGGACAGAGTTAAATATTATTATTCATTTAATTGAAATATTTTAATATGTTCTAATCGTCGCAAACCTAATAATATTTAGAAAGTTTTAATGTTGCAATGCTTAGTTCCCAGCATGCTTTGCAAGAGATTGAATTAAAAGAAAAGTATTTAGATAAATAAAAGCACTCTTAGGTGTTTAAATTTGAGAGAAAGACATGTTAGAGTTTGATCATCATTAGTTTGTAGATTAGGAAGAGTTTTGAGTATGTCTTTTAGATTTAAGGTTACCACTTTGCAGAAGAGCAGCACTCATGCTTTGGGTCTTGGACTTTTATTAGCTAATTTGTTTGACGTTTTACTCGATAATTCTAGCGCTGATACTAGTGAACCTGTGAATAGAATAATTACACTTCCTAATTAAATTTACTTTTAATAAAGTGAAATAATACATTTCAAGTGGATAAGTGTCTTAATTAAATCAAGTTGCACCAAATGTACTAATGTCTAACTAAGATTAAATAAAATTGATGAAAGCAATGTTCCTTCTGCTAAAACAAGAAAATGACATGACTTGGTTTATTTAAATAAATAGTAACTCAAAAGTAAAAATAATCAACTAACTTTTACTTAATAATCCAAAAAACAAACAAAAAGTACTCACGCTGTTAAAAGTAATTATTATTAAAAGCAAGCAAACCAATTGCCTTAAAAGCAACAAGCTGACTTTACAAACATAATCTAAGTTAACCCATTGTAACTTGGAACTGTTAAGTCGACTTAATTTTTATAATTATGCAAATTGTACTAACTTCTTAAAAATAAAAGTAAACTAATTACTTTTTTTACACCTTTATTATATATATATTTGTATATGTGTTTATATGTATATTTGTTTTTGTTTTTTTTGCGACGCAGTAAAATAAATCTGCTCTTCCAGACTCCAGTGCGTCTTCTAAATTCAATACAGGATATAAGTGTAGACTGTATGTATTTAATGAAGCGACAAATATTGTGATATTTACAGTAATTATTTAAAAACAGACGTGCTAAAATAGTCTGACACTGTAGAAATGTGTTAGTTGACTTTAAAAAGTAAGTACAATTTGCATAATTATAAAATTTAAGTCAACTTAACAGTTCCAAGTTACAATGGGTTTACTTACATTCTTTTTGTAAAGTCAACGTGTTGCTTTTAACGCAACTAGTTTACCTGCTTTAAGTAACTAATCCCTTTTACAGTGCAGGGGTGGCTCAAATATTTTGGCGGTGCTCTTTGGGTAAGCGATCCATCAAAGCAAACAACAAAAATCAGTCCAACGCACTCAAAGTGATGTTTGTTGTTTAACTTTTACTTAATGTTTAACCTAACACTCCTAAATAAATTAAGTCAATTTTACACGATATTGACAAGTTAATTGTAACTGATATAAGATTGTAAAATTTACTTGAAATTTGTTTGTGCAAATTGTTACGAGGATTTTTTAAGTAAATCTAAAGAGCTATTTTTTTCAGTGTATACAGTTTAGGTTAAAATTATTAGCCCCCCTGTCAATTTTCCAATATTTCCCAAATGATGTTTAACAGAGCAAGGACATTTTCACAGTATGTATCGTTATATTTTTTTATTCTGAAGAAAGTCTTATTTGTTTTATCTCGGCTAGAATAAAAGCAGTTTTTAATTTTTTAAACCCATTTTAAGGTCAAAATTATTAGCCCCTTTAAGCTATTTTTTATATATAATCTACTAAGCAAACCATTGTTATACAATAACTTGCTTAATTAACCTAACCTGCCTAGTTAACCTAATTAACCTAGTTAAGCCTTTAAATATATATTAAATATATATATATATTAAATATATATATATATATATATATATATATATATATATATATATATATATCATATAAATTATTTGGAGATCCATGAAATAAAGTGATGTGAGATTTATGTCCATCAGACAAAATTTGCTGAAGTTCTTTAGATGTACTTGTAAGCATTTATTTTAGCACTAGATGGCACCTTTTCCTTCCTTAAAGGGGTACTACACCCAAAACTGAAAATTCTGTGATCATTTACTCACCTGTTTGAGTTTCTTTCTTCTATTGAACACAAAATAATATATCTTGAAGAATATTGTGAACCTGTAACCCTTGACTTTCATAGTATTTGTTTGTTTGTTAACGGTTTCCAACATTCTTTAAAATATCTTCTTTTGTGTCAAATCAGTTAAGAACCTCTCGAGGACTAATAAATAGTGCGTAAATAATAATTATAAGGTGACATACAAAAATTCATAATGACACACCAAAGAGTTCATAAAATATAGTATTTTACTATACAAAATTAAAAATGGGTAATACATTTTCAGCATTCTTGGATTATATTTATGATGAATTTAATGTATACAATTGAATTTTAAAAATATTAATTCATTTTTCCTTTTTTTAAATAATAAAAATCTGTTTCCCAGTACTGGGATGCAGCTGGAAGCATATAAACATATGCTAGATAAGTTGTCGGTTCATTCCGCTGTGGCGACCCCTGATGAATAAAGGGACTATGTTTTTTAGGGTACTGTAAGTCATGTTTTCACATTGTAAGGCTGGATTTTTTTCTGATTTCTGAAATTTACATATCACACACAGTCCACACAATTATAAAGCTGATTTGTTTTAACTTGTTCAATTCAGCTCCGACATCAAATGATGAATAATATACCTACTAACCAATATTTTGTCTGGTTTTCATAGAAGGAAACACTTTTTAACTTCTCCCCCATGATAAAACAGTCATGAAATCAAATCTGCAAATCTGAATGATTGTCTTATCTAGCCACTGTAGATGCTGTTTATACCATACCTGTCAATATTAGGATATGAAAATAAGGGATAACCGTTTTTTGCACATCCCTCAATGCGTTAAATCCCAAAATGCCCCTAAATTGCTGAATCCGTTAATTCAGAACAGTTTTATTGTAAATATATATAAAATTACAGCTAAACTACTCTTAAAGGAACACTCCACTTTACCATACCACAGTGTAACCTGTACAAAATATCTGTTAGTTCAGTTTCCCTATTTTGCGATTTAACAAGTGTTAATCGTGGTTGTGAATTGCATTATGAGATGTTGATCTCTGCTCTGTCGATGTTTGATATTGAAAACTCAACTCTCTTCAACTCTCATTGACATTTCAGTCGTTTGAAAAAATATATAATGCAAGAAATAATATATAGAGCAATAAGTCTGTAATATAACAGAAAATGTACCTGCAGTTTATTACAAGGTTTTTGTAGCATAATATACAACACCAACCCAGACAATTTATCACTTTACACTGTTGAAAATGTTAATGAGTCAAATGTTTAAGGTTAAAAGCTGTTGAAAGAAAGACCAAGGTCCCATAATGCAATTCAAAAGCATAAAAACAGGAATCACGAAATACAGAAAACTGCTAATTTAGGGATTTTTTTATAGTGTAGAAAATTAATTGCATACGATATAAAAAAAGTTACAAACAAATTAAACAGTAAACAGTAAAAATACTGGCTTTATAGAAATGGAATCAAATCTCATTACTTTTTTTCACTGCATAATATATATGTATATCTACACAACCTGACGGAAGTCTTGTCGTTGATCCCAGTTGTAAGAGCAGCAAATAATAACTTGACTTCTAGTTGATCGTTTGGAAAAGAAGGTCAATTTTTCAGGTGAATCGTTTGTCGAACTGCATCCCAATCATCACAAATACTGCAGAAGAACTATTGGAACCCACATGGACCCAAGATTCTCACAGAAATCAGTCAAGTTTGGTGAAGGAACAATCATGGTTTGGGTTTACATTCAGTATGGGGGCGTGCGAGAGATCTGCAGAGTGGACGGCAACATCAACAGCCTGAGGTAACAAGACATTTGTGCTGCCCATTACATTACAAACCAGCAGGATAGCGCTCCTCATACATCCGCCTCAACATCAAAGTTCCTGAAAGCAAAGAAGTTCAAGGTGCTCCAGGATTGGCCAGCCCAGTCACAAGACATGAACATTTTTGAGCATGTCTGGGGTAAGATGAAGGAGGAGGCATTGAAGATGAATTCAAAGACTCTTGATGAACTCTGGGAGTCCTGCAAGAACGCTTTCTTTACCATCACAGATGACTTTATGATTAAGTTATTTGAGTCATTGCAAAGATGTATGGATGCAGTCCATCAAGCTCATGGGAGTCACACACAATACTATTTTTTTTTCCACTGCAGCATGACTTTATATTCTATACTGTACATTATTTCAGTTAAGAGACAAGACTTTTGTCTAAGCAAAGTCAGACCTTACTGTCCTAATTAAAGAAATAAAAATCAAGGGATGATCATGTATTATTTTTTGTTAAATAAGCGTGATATAGAGGCCTTTGCCTTTCATATAAGCCACTTCTGATACCAAATCATCAACTAGAAGTCAAGTTAGTATTTGTTGTTCCTAAAACTTGGATGGGAGATAACACTTTTGTCAGCTGTGTAGATATATTCTGATTAAAGGTAGGCTACTATAGTTATTGAATGCTATTAGACTATTGTTAAACTTAATTTACATCAGCCAAACTAAATAAAAATATTAAGTTAAGCTTTGTATAAACCCGATAAACTGATCAATGTTAGTTAAAGTAACAAATAAACAATTGTTTTCATGACTTTTTGTTTTATTTATATATATATTTAAAAATACAGGGGAATCCTGGGTAAAACAGGACGGTTGACAGGTATGGTATATACTATTTTAAGGTAAAAACTGCAAGTATAAATAGCTCAATCACTGTTCGCTGGTTTATTAAAGGGATAGGTCACCCAAAAATGAAAATATACTTATTTTTTACTCACCTCAAGTGATTCCAAACATTTATGAGTTTCTTTTATCTTTTGAACACAAAAGAAGATATTTTGGAGAATGTTGGAAACCTATGACCATCAACTTCCATACTATGAATGGTTACCGACTTCCAGCATGTTTCAAAATATCTTCATTTGTGTTCAACAGAAACTCAAGCAGGTTTTAAAGAAGTCAAGGGTGAATAAATGTTGATAGAATGATCAGTTTTGGGTGAACTCTCCCCTTAATGAAGACGTGCTCTTCTCCTGTGGTTTGACACACTTTTCCCACGTTGAATATATGACTTTTCCATTATTAAAAAAAACCCAAGTACAGATGAAGCAAGTCTCGAAATCTCTCATCACTTCAAATTAATGCAAAAGTCTCTTCAAATCTTGGGTGTGACTCCAAAATCAGGGCTTTTGCGTTAAGCCGCGCTCACACTGCACTTTTCTCCTATAGATTTCCATTCATTTGCGCGCGAATGGGACAGACTGGAAACGCATGCTCGTGCAGCAAGTTTCAGCGTTCACTGTGCTGCAAACTTCAAGCTTGGTGAACTCTGACCTGCGAAATTGCATCTCGTGACTGCGTGAGACCAATCGAAGATCAAAACATGACCTCTCTGGAGAGAAATTTAAAATATGGACCAATCGCTCGCTTTTTTAAATGTCTAATCATCTTGTTTAAGATGTACAACAGAATTTCACGTGCTCAAACTCTAGTGTGACCACAGCATCAGTCTGTTTTCTTCCTGATGTGCTTGTAGGCACTACACCACCGTCTCCTTTTTCTTGTATTTGCACAAGAAGTGCATTGTGAGATGTTTAGGCCTCTGTTGTGCTTTCGCAGGACGGGGAATCTGAAGTCGGACACTGGGATTCGTCGCATTCCACGTCCTGAAAAGGTGGATGTGGTAACGAAGAGATACCTGCCGTTAAAAAAGAAGAAAAAAAAAGTCAGAGCTAATGTTTTTAATTACTCTTACTGCAAAAATGCTTTTCTCAGTTAGATTTTTTGACTTGTTTCTAGCACAAATATCTTAAAATTCTTAAATCAAGAGGATTTTTCTAGACAAGCAAAACATGTAGTCTTGTTTTGAGAAATAATATGCCAAAATGAATTGAGTTTTTCCCTCAAACAAGCAAACAAACCTGCCAATGGGGTAAAAAAAAATTATTATATCAAAAGGAAAAACAAGATTAATTTGCTTACCCCATTGGCAGATTATTTTGCCTATTTTAACCCTTGTGTGGTGTTCGTATTTTGGTTACTCAGCCAGTGCTCATGGGTCTGGTGGACCCACTAGAGTTTTGGCTTTCTAAATGAACACTATTAAACAATTTTGTATTAAATTACTCAACAAATGTTTACTTAATTCCAGTTACAAGCCATATGCACAGCAAACATGGTTAATTTCCCCCCTTTACCTTTGTTAAATCATATTGATAAATTTAATGTGCTTCTCATTTTTATTTATTTATTTATTATTTTGTTTTTATTAATGTTATGAAAAAAATAAAACCCACAGATTTGTTTTTTCGTATTGTTCCCACCATGGTCATGGATATTATCATCATCAGAAGCCCCTCTCTCATCCACAATCAATTGCAAGGCCCTCGCAGCAGATAATCTTTTGGCCATCTTGATCAGTTGTGGTAAGGAACCACACTGGCAAAGTCTTTTTATAGTACTATACCCCCTAATTCGCAGATGGGACAGGGTATGAGAAAATAAAGCTTGGTTACTGCAAGAGAGAGGGTAAAATGTGCGGGAATGTACGAGCAGACAGTGTTGAGTTGAATTTGCAACAATGTTGCAATTTTGTGCGGGAGCAGGAGGGGAAGAAAACAGCAGCACCAGAAAGGAGGACAGAGTATAGGAACACTGGACCTACACTTTCAACACTTTTATTAGACCTGGGTCTAGTGGACCCGAACACCTTGGATTTAATGTAAATATGTGGGGGGAGGTACATTTATGCGGTCGTTGAAAATTTGTTCGGATTTATGTTCTTCACAGAAAAGAAGCCAAAGCCAATGAATTTCAGGTTGAAAAAATTGTTCATTGTTTAATTTTTCTTTAAAAAAAAAATTAAAATGGGTCTTACAGACCCGAACACCATACAAGGGTTAAGGAAAAACTCACTTAGTGAAGCTTCACAAACTAATTTTGAGAGGAGCACATGATAGGATTGACTGCAGCTGATCCCTATCACTAATCACTAGCTATCCAATAGGATCATTTCAAATTTAACATAAATATCCAGCCTTAACTTCACTCCTCGTCTTCGTTTTGGAAGCGCGTATGAATAATATAAATAATACTCAGTACTGTAACAGTTTCTACATGACTGTGAGGGCTGAGTTTGGGGTAGACATTAATAAAATACAATTATTGGGCAATTTAATAAATAACATACATAATTCTCGGTGGAACGGTGGCTCAGTGGTTAGCACTGTCGCCTCAAAGCAAGAAGGTCGTTGGTTTGAGTCCCAGCTGGGCCAGGGGGCGTTTCTGTGTAGAGTTTGCATGTTCTCCCCATGTTTGTTTTTGTCCGAGTGCTCCAGTTTCCCACACAGTCCAAAGCTAGCGGTACAGGGGAATTGGATGAGATTAAATGTGATAGTGTATGGAGTACTGGGTTGCAGCTAAAGGGGCACCCGCTGCGTAAAACATATGCTAGAATAGTTGGCGGTTCATTCCACTGTGCTGACCCCTGATAAATAATAGACTAAGCCAAAGTAAAATGAATGAATGAATGAATGAATGAATGAATGAATGAATAATTCTTGCAGCAGCTGTATCCCTTTTAGCAGGAACTCTTCTGCCTCGCACAAGTGGTCATTTGTTTTTTGTAATGTGATGTAAAGATGATATAATACATGATCAAATAAATATAAATGTTTATGCTTTAAAAAAACAAACAAAAAATCTGAAAAAAACAAAACAAAATAAATATTAAAAATTATGATGTTAAACGATTCATAACAATCATGTGAAAAGGGTACAAATATTTTTTTAACGAAACTATTTATGAAATTTTCTGTGTACTAATGTGGACATGGCTTAATTCAGAATAGTTTTCACACCAATGGAAATCCCTGCATGTGTAAAATGGCACCGCACTTTCATTTACAGTATCTGCACTAAAAGCAAAAACATGAGTGCACTTACGACGGTCCAGAAGAGGTATATAGTGAAGAGGGTGAGTGTGAGGATAATGAGTCCGACGGCCTCCATGCCGTTGCTGTAGTAGAGATCCATGGCTCCCTGCACACACAACCAGCCCGACAGACTGGCTAACGGTGTGATGAACAGAAAGCAGATCACGTCTCCACATAGCGTCCGCCTCTGCTGCTGCATTGAAGGAGCGCTCAACCACTGCAGTCAGGAAAAACACAACAACAGATTATTAGATGGGTCATTCATTTTCTGTTTTCGGCTTAGTCCCTTATTTACCAGGGGTCGCCACAGCAGAATGAACCGCCAACTATTCCAGCATATGTTTTACGCAGTGGTTGCTCTTACAGCTGCAACCCAGTACTGGGAAACACCTATACACTCTCGGATTCTCACGCACACACATTCATGCACTACGGCCAATTTCATTCCTTCATTCATTTTCTTGTCGGCTTAGTCCCTTCATCAATCTGGGGTCGCCACAGCGGAATGAACCGCCAACCCATCTCTGGGAAACATTCACACACACACTCATACACTACGGACAATTTAGCCTACCCAATTCACCTGTACCACATGTCTTTGGACTGTGGGAGAAACCTGAGCACCCGAAGGAAACCCACGCGAAGACAAGGAGAACATGCAAACTCCACACAGAAATGCCAACTGATCCAGCCAGGACTCGAAACAGCAACCTACTTACTATGAGGTGACAGTGCTAACCACTGAGCCACCGCGCCGCCCCCTCTTCTGCTTTAAAAATATCTATTTAATATGAGAGTATACAATCAAGACACCTCAAAAAGAAATTTGCAGCCATTCAGAACTCAAACAATGCAGTAAATACGTGATGTATAAGATATATGTACAGTTGAAGGCGAAATTATTAGCTGTAATTTTATTTCTTTTTCAAAATTTAGGGGAATTTTATGATGTTTATGATAATTATCGTTTTTTCTTCTAGAGAAAGTCCTATTTCTTTTAGTCTGACTAAAATAAAATCTATTTTTATGTTTAAATTAGTTATTAATTTGAACTTATTTCTTAAAACTATTATGTTTAAAGATGTGTTGAAAAATAAATAACTTTGGACATATTTGAAAAATACTTTATAAATACTTATATTCAAGGAAAAAACAAACAAAAAGCGCTCTGGGGTAAGCTCAAATGTATGGTCGGTGCTCTTTGGGTAAGGGATTCATCAAAACATCAACAAGAATCAGTCCAAGGCACTCGAATAAAGTGAAAAATTTAAAAAGCCTTTATTCACATGGCTAAATTTCTAAAAACCTACGCGTTTCGGCAGAAGTCTGCCTTCATCAGGGTAACAGTGATCAGGTGCGTCTAGAGCAAGCGGCAACCTCCCGCTCTCCCTCAGGAAGCCAATACGGAAGTAACTAAAACTGCAATTCATCCGAAATTCCGCTAGTCCTGGCCGCTCCTGGCTCCAAAACAGAGCAAATTTCAATTGAGCCCACTGTTAGAATGGCCAACTTTACAGCAGAAAAAAGTTTTTACAGCCTGGTACAAAAAAAGATTTTGGTTAATACAGCTAATATTACCCTTCATGACAACTGTGAGGGGGGTGAATTTTTTTATAACTCATCCGTTTCCTTTATATTAAGTTATATTAAGTTTGCATAATTAAGGGCGTGGCCACTTGAGTGACAGCTAGGTCTCGTTGGTCGCCGTCACGTCACCTCAGCTGAATCCTGCAGATTAGCCACTGATCTCGGCATATTTATCGTATTTCTGTGCTGTTTTATGTGGCTTTACACAGTCGACTGCCTTTTGGATTTGTTTCCTACAATTATTAGATGGCATGGCATGCTGAGTGAACTTAATTGTGCTCACAAACCATTCACGTGGCCTCCGTTTCCCATGTGAGTAAAGTTATATACTTATATACCATCTTTATACATGTATTTATTTTATTTAAGATCATTTATCGTTTATATTTATATTTAGAGCTGTAATGCACTCCAGAATCTGTCAGATTGATTAGCTGTAGGCTCTAGAACAGTCATCTGAAGCGTTGCCATACAGTGTTATGCTGGATTTCATCAATAGTCTTACAGTAACTAACACAGACTATATCTGAAGTGTTTGGAAGTAATTCGCGTTTTCCTCCTGTTAAAAAACGTCATAAGAACAATGTTTAGTGGCTCAATGTATTACAGCAGTGTTTTTAAAAGTCTAAACACTTTATTGATATAGTGTACAACAAAGCACAAGTGGTCAGAATACAAACAAGTCACAGGTGATAAAGTATTAAGCGTTCTCCCAAAGTAAAGTGTGTCTGAACCAGGTCCAAGCTAAATGCTAGCAGGTGTCTGTAGCTCCGCTCACTCTCCGCCTCTTTGCCCTTATTTGGTATCCCGCCGTGGGTGTGATGACGCGTGACCAAAATGGCGACGGTTGGCCGCGCCTACTTGTGGCTTCTTTTGCGCTCTTCAGAAACCTATGGGTGACGTCACGAATACTACGTCCATATATTTTACAGTCTATGGTCTAGAGTCTCTTTCGAGTACTACAATCACATGACTCATTTAAACATCTCAAATAGCACTCAAATAATTCACCAAGCAAAGTCTACTATCATCATAAATTCGACATAGATACACAAACACCCACTTGCATATATGGGAAAAGAGAGAGAGAAGAAAAAAAAAGGAAAATACTTATATATACAAACACTTACATCAATGTATATTGATAATCTGTAAAGCATCTATAAAAAAACTCATTCATTCATTCATTTTCCTGTCGGCCTAGTCCCTCTATCAATCCGGGGTCGCCACAGCGGAATGAACCGCCAACCCATCCAGCAACCTTCCTCTCAGCGGATGCCCTTCCAGCCGCAACCCATCTCTGGGAA